TCATCATAACCAGGTATTTCCATGATCATGGATGCTAGCATGTTGTTCTTGGCTCTATAGGTTCTCAACATCTTTTCTAGCAACCTTGTTATCATCCCATTCGGTGCTTCCAAGAGGTCTTATGCGGTTGACCAATGCCATAAGCTTATCAAACAAAGATTGTGTTTATTCATTTTGCAAGAACACAAATCTTTCCAATTCACCATGAAGTAACTCAATGTTGCCTTTTCTCACACTCTTATCTCCTTCAAATGACACTTTCAAAGTATCCCAAATTTGCTTTGCACTTTTCATTCCATTTACCTTTCTAAACTCATCCGGACTTAGGCTTGACACATGCAATGCTATGGCTTGTGCATTTCGATGGAGATTGTGCACTTCTTCTAGAGTTATCTCTCTATCTTCATTGGTAGGAATCATCACACCAACATCCACAACTTCCCAAAGTCTTGTGGCAATGAGATGCATCTTCATCTTGTAGGATCAATCGGTGTATCTTGTTCCATCAAATTGAGCTAGCTTGCCAATGTTGATGGAAGGAGTATGCAGAGGTGAACCTTTGATGAGTTGTCCATAGTTGAAGTTCATGTTTGAATATGTTCCATTTCCATGAGCATGCTCATCGGCTCCAATATCACTAGCGGCATTTTTATTTGCTTCATTCTTGCCACTTGTTGCATCATTCTTGCACTTATTGCATCATCAACCTTCTTTCTCAATTCTTCCTTCATCTTGCATCTTTTTTATTTCATCTTGGAAGAACTTGACTTGAGTAGCCATCAACTCTTCAGCTATCTTCTTGGCCATCTCGGTGGCATCGGCTTGCATTTTGTCGATCTCTCGACATTGTTTCTTCTCGCGTGGTGAATCGTTAAAAGAAGACATTGCTCTGATACCAATTGAAATGATCTAAACAATGACTAGAGGGGGTGAATAGGCATATCTAAAAAATTTCTGCATAATCTCAAAGTCAAATGTCTTCTTTCATCTTGCATCTAGATCTTCCAGCAACCGAAAGTTCCAACACAAATAGTCAGGAGTTCCGACACCTACGAGAATAGCACTACAAGTGCTAAAATAAACTTTGAGTGAAAGATATCTTACAACCCCACTCCCTAGTGGTAAGATGAAGTGTTGGGGTTGCTCCTTTGACGCCGGAAGATCACCACTCGTAGATCGAGTCCAAACCCAAAGAGGAGAGTTGGGGAGGAAGGCAAACCAATAAGAACAAATATGATAGCACAAATCACACAACAACAACAAGCACGCAGGACACAAGAATTTATCCCAAGATTCAGCAACCCCACAAAGGAGCTCCTATGTCCTCGTTGTTGAGGAGACCACAAAGGTTAGAGTCTCTTCCACCTCCTTGCCTCTCTCAAAGCAACCACAAAGGTCACTCGAGCTTTCCCTAAGAAATCAAGGGTAATACAAACTTTCCAAGGCTCTTCCATAAGATGGAAGCTCTTGGGCGACGCCTAGCCGGCTAGGGTTCAAGAACCCAAGAGCAATAGATGCAAATCTAACTAGCTTGACGAAGAAATCAAGTGCTCAAGCTTGCCAAAGTGATTCTCTCACTCAATCCACTCTCCTTTCACTCAAAACCCTAGTGGAATCGAAGATTGGAGCAAAGAGAGGAGAGGGGAGCCTTCAATGCTTGGAAGCTATTTTGGACGAAGGTTGGTGAGTAAAATGAATGAGTGTTTTTAGTTAGAAGAGAGGAGAGAGCTATTTATACTCAAAGGTAAATCCAACCATTCAGATCTGAGTTGGAAGTTCCAACACAGATCTCTAGAACTTCCGGCTCAATGCAAAAACACTATTCACACAGACAGTCCACTGGGCTTGGTCGCATATCATCGGAACTCGGCGGTCGTCGGGACTTTTGGCTTCCATTGGGACTTCTGACATACATGGTAAGTCAGGTGACTAAGTCCCAAAGCATCGGGACTTCCAACGGGCGAAGATGCGCAGGCGGCTAAGTCATGAAGTGTCGGGACTTCCGGATGGAGCTAGAACTTCCGGCACTCGAAAGTCCCGACTCCTATCGGGACTTCCGATGGGCGAAGATGCGCAGGCGGGCTGTGGCTAAGTTAATAAGCGTCGGGACTTCTGACACCAAACATCGGGACTTCCAACAATCGGGAAATGAATGAGTGTTTTCTGTTAGAAGAGAGGAGAGAGCTATTTATATTCAAAGGCAAATCCAACCGCTTAGATCTGAGTCAGAAGTTTCGACATAGATCTCTAGAACTTCCGGCTCAACACAAAAACATTGTTCACGCAGACAGTCCACTAGGCTTGCTCACATATCGTCGGGAGTTTCGACAGACATGGTAAGCCTGGCGACTAAGTCCCAAAGCGTCGGGACTTCGGCACCCATAACTCCCGACTCCCGTCGGGACTTCCGGCGGGCGAAGATGCGCAGGCGGCTAGGTCGTGAAGTGTCAGGACTTCCGGAGGGAGCCGGAACTTTCGGCACCCGGAACTCCCGACTCCTGTTGGGACTTTCGACGGGCGAAGATGCGCAGATGGGCTACGGCTAAGTCAACAAGCGCCGGGACTTTCTGCACCAAACGTCGGGACTTCTAACAGCCGGAACTCCCGGCTCACGCCGGAATTTCCGACTACCAAAAGTCCACAAACTATGTCCAAGTGTTCATGAGGTGATTTTGTGTCTCTCTTTTGATTTTACTTTTATGCTTAAGGACTCTATCTTCCTCAGATCCCCTAAACTTGCATCCCTCTTTATAGTGCGACATACCTAAACTTAAAACAAAATAAAAAGGCTTTGGAGAGCGCTTTGGGTTCATCTGTTTTTTTGCACTTGAAGAATTGAGGGATACCATTTCATCTTAGATCAACTCTTTTAAAGCTTTTAAGGGACTAAAGCTGCGATATATCTCATTAAGATCTCATTAGTCCCTAATTTGGACATCATCAATACACCAAAACCCACGTAGGGGGCAAATGCACTTTCACATTTGTTCTTTGACCGCTATTTGCAAGCTTTGTTTGGAATACCGTGTGTATCACATATGGAATTCCACCTCCTGCTAGTTTTGCCAATATGGTAGGTTCCTAGCTACATGGTTTAAGCCTAAAACTTAGAAACCAAATTTTGCTGGGAGCTACTGCTCTATGTTGGTTGATTTGGTTGAATAGAAATGATATGGTGTTTAACAAAGCTAAACCTAATACATCCATGCAGTTAATTTTTAGGAGATGTATTGGATACGACAGTGGTCCATGCTGCACAAAGAGGAGGAGAGACCAATGTTCTTTGAGGGATGCAGAAAATGGGAGGTGTTGATCATGGCCGTCTTCGTGAAGTTCGGCTGGAACTTTATGAATCATATTGAAGCCTAGTGTTTTGCTTTGTTCATTGCACCCACTAGTTGGGATGAACTTTGTTTCTTTTCCCTGCACTTGTAAGCCTTATGGCATTGATGTTTTCTGTAACGGATGGTAGAGACTAGAACTTTATTCCATTATTTTAAAAACCTATCTCTCTCTGGCGATGCCAGAAGTATAAGATGCTGATAAAGAAACAGCAAAATAATTAACACGAGGCTAACAACAAAAAAGAATGGGTGCTTATAATACACATATCGGAAAGAACAGAAAGAGGTAACAGCACAAAGAAAAGCTCACCTCTGTCCTATCTTCAGATAAAAGAAGATCCTTCCGACAAGAAATGTATATCTTCTTAAAATATGTGTCAAAATGAATAAATATGTGTGTATGTGTATTATGGAAATTTCTCTGTTTCAAATTTCAATGTATGAAAAATAAAATACTGACGAACTAAGCAAAGTGAAAAACATAAGATGCGCTTTCCTTTTTTTTATAATAGTCACCTTGTTGAACTCCCGGTCCCAACGGAAGCTTTGCCTGCCTCCAACTTATTACCCAAAGTCGCTACAATGTTTTTCCTGGAAAGATGAAAGCAGCTGGCGTATCTTCCGCACTAGGTCATATAAGGTGATTATAAGAAAAATAATATGGAAAATAGAAAAGGACACGGACATATCCGGACCCATTATATATATATATATATATATATATATATATATATATATATATATAACTACTGTTCTACAGCCGGCTATAAAATAATTTATTCTGTGACCACTTTGAGTTACAATAATTACTATGCTAATTTACGAGATTATAGTAACTCCTTACTATGTGATTTACTATAACGTTACGGTAAATATCCTCATTTGTTACAGTAACACAACTATCGTAAATATGTATTCACTTTATCATAAATTAGTATATAAAATTATCGTAAATAGAGGTAATATACTCTCCTTTTATATATATATAATATATATATATATATATATATATATATATATATATATATATATATATATATATATATATATATATATAAGAGGCAGCAGAGGCTGTTTTTGAGCTATAGCATCAGATTCTGCCTAATCTCGTGAAGCAGGAGCTGGCACCTACAGGCTGTTCTTGAGCTATGGCATCAGATTCTGCCTAACCTCTTGCCCCAGTGCTGCAGTCTGATAGGGATTGCTCACACACCAAAAACAGATTCGTCCTTAGCTCCATTCAAATCAGGGCTATTGTTTGGTTCGTTGCACTTCGCACGCAAGACTCTTCAGAGGGCGCTGACAGCGGCAGAATTGCCATTACCATCTCTCTGCAGGTGAGGATGACACTATGCATTTTCCCTACTTTTTCTCCATGGTAAATCAATAGTCTAAGTTTTCATTGCGTTTTTATCTAGTGCCACTAAACTTAATTTCTCATTGTGTTTTATGGAACTTTCCCTTCTCCAATTTTGTCTGTACAAGCACAACAAAGCTTCTGTGCCAAAATAGCCACGACACACGTTCTCCTCTGAAATCTACTCGATCGTTTTCCACAAACACTTGTGTAACTGCATGCAGATAACACAAGGGCCGGCTTGTGCTTCTTCCTCCTGGTAGGTGTAGGTCTCAGCTTAATTGGTGGTCATTGCCGAGATGGGTATGGTCGCTTCCATATGTATGGAGCCGATCAAGCGCCGACGAGTGGAGAAGGACCTCGACGACAAGGTGGCAGACGCGCTCCGGGAGAGGACGAGGTCCCGGCAGAGGACCTTCAGGTCGGTGAACAGCATCACCATGCGTCTGCCTAGGTTCAAGGAGGGGCTCAGCGACATCAAGGACATCTTCGACCAGCATGGTAATCTATATCTATACCTAATATTGTTTCGTCCGTACCTTTTTTCCCCCAAACTACCTGCTCTCAATATTGACCCATCTTTATACTAGTTTCGATGATATTGAGTCCGATTCTGAGACGTATCGGGTTCCATGCAATGCACGGTCATTCTTTACTAGTTTGTACTCATGGGAGGCGCACATTTCTATATATCTGTCGATGCAAAAGTAGCTTTATTTCGCTAAACAAACACTGCATTTGCCATGTAAGCGCGGAATGAATCGAAGTATTTGTTCCGTTGCAGATGAGGATTCAGATGGCACAATCGACAACGAAGAGCGGCAGAGCTTCCTGAGCAAGCTCCAGGTACAGATGTCCGAGAAGGAGATGGACAACCTGCACCACTACTGCGACATCGACAGCAGGAGCGGGATCCAGTTCCAGGAGTTCGTCGTGCTCCTCTGCCTCATGTACCTTCTGTTCGGGCCAGACGTTACACGCCGGGTACATACGATTCTTCTCTTCTCTTCCTTCCTCTCTAGCTACTCTATCATCTGCAAGACAGTTATTTCCATAGCTATCAATCCACTCATGTTGGGAAGATCGATTAATTCAGGTTTCAGAATTCGAGTCTGCGAAGCTCAACTACATCTTCGACGAGCTCATCGACGCTTTCATCTTCTTTGACAAGGATGGGGATGGCAAGATGAAGAGGAAAGACGTCACCCACAGGATGAACGAGGCGTCTCACCAGGAGAGGACACCCAGCCACATAACAGCACAGCTATTCAGTACTCCATCTCTTGCTGCCTCTTGTTTGTCTCATCTACATATCCCTGTTATTATTCGATTCGATCTATTTCTAGCAGCAGTAGGTTGGCGCTCATGCAGACATGCACTGATCGATGCACGTCATGTTCTTTCTCTCTGTGTGTTCGTTTGCTTGTAGAGGAGATGGATCTGAACAGGAACGGGAAGGTGAACCTCAAGGAGTTCCTCTATTCCATGATCAGATGGGCTGGTCTCGAAACCGAAGACGATGGCAGCAATGAGGCCTCCCCCTAATGTATTTTTTTTCTTCTTTTTATTGTCTTGATTTTAACAATTGAATAAGTATAAAAATGAATGTATGTTAACAATTGAAGTAAAAATCAGAAAGGAAATGCTGAACCTCATCGAGGATTCTGACATGGAAATCGGGGTTGTGGTCGTCAGTGATGAGTCATCGCCAAGGTTGTCGACCGATCAATGGTTACCAATTAACTGGGGCAATTAGAACTTTCACGCCATTTCTTTTTGGTGCGGTGCCCAGACAGTGTCATGGGTGCACGGTGAGGGAGAGGCTCTGCTGGAATGCAGATGGGTCCGTGATGTTTTAGGTGCTCTGAAAACGCAGGTCTTGTGAAATTATATTACCTCAAAGTTTGGGAGCTCTGGGCTACAGCCGCGCCGCTGAAAGGATGTTCTCGTGTTGCCTGTGTCTTGGACGGTCCTCGACGCCATCGCTGAAGGAATTATTGGATTGTGGCAGGCTATATATATTGTAGGATCGATTTACTATAGGACAGGACACTGCTACAGGATGGCCTTTGTCCCGGGCGGTAATGGCCTTTAGTCCCGGTTACCGCGTCGGGACAACGATCCCGGGACTAAAGGTGGAAACTTCAGTCCCGGGTCATCGAGACGTTTAGTCCTGGTTGATGTTACCAACCGGGACTAAAGGCCCTCTAGTCGAGCAAACGTGGCCACACTCTTTAGTCCGGAGAGGTTGGGGAATGATTGCGGAACCTGAATAATATTTTTCACGATTAACAAATCACTCCAAAATAATTCCAACACATTATCATAATCACGAGATAGCATATTGATATGTTAGAAAAAAAATACCGTGGATCCTAAACGGTTGCTCTGATTTTGACCTCAAATTTTATCTGAGCGAACGAGGTAAAATACTAACACAACTAGAAGCACGTCAAACGGATCTTTGGATTAAAAGATACTAAAAATGTACTATAAATATCTCAGATGAGGTCAAGAATTAATTTGCTAGATTTTCAAGATTAAGAGAGGAAAAACTCATTGTTTATGCAGATAAACAAATAACAAGCTTATGTCCTAGCTACTGACATATTTGAAATAACGAGCAACCTCGAGGAATAAGTAATAAAGGCACATGAAAGTTGCTCATACTTTAATAAACAGAAGCCGTTGCTATTTTATCAATTGAAAACAAACATGATTTTTATCGAGACATAAGATTTCAAACATTGATCTTGATTACTTGAAGATGTTTACAAAATATATATTCATACCAGCACATACAAATCCTATCAAGGTCACACAAAACAAATGTGTTTTCTCTCACTCTCTCGAGAGAAAACCCCAAGCCGAAAGAACAATACTACTCTTGCACAGAACCTATTCCTGGTGTAACCCAGGTTTTCTAATAACAAAAAATTTGAACTTAATTTTTTTAACAAAACCCATGCGTGGTGAGTGTGCATACTAGAAAACCACCCATGTAGTTGCACAAGTAGAACCCGAGTTAGCATGGTTGAACATTGTTGCATTTTAATTCCACTTGTGAGTTTCTTCTTCATAATTTTATGTGATGCAATAAAATCAATTAAACCTTTCAACAAATTATTGTGTGTGTGTGTGTTGCCAACCTTTGACTTGGACCCTAAAGCCCTAGATGACCTCTAGTGGACCCCACTAGGGTGTATACATGTTGGCAACACATGTATACATGCATAGAAGCCCTAAGTGTAGTGTGGAAATAGAAATAGAAAATGAATTGGAAAAAGGGAGGAAAATAGAAAAGGGAAAGAAGGCCAGCAGCAGCAGCCCGCTGAGGCCAGTGTAACGCCATGCTTGCCCGGCTCCGTGCCGCACTGCCAGGCTGGCTCGCTTCGCCACAACACTGCTGCTCAAGCACTGACTGCGTTTCGGCCTCGCGCCAAGGCGTGGCTCAGCCCAACGGTGGAGCTATGTTAGGGCCAAAGAGGGCCCTGTCCCCCCCCCTTGCCATGGATCAAAATCCAAGGGTCATGTGCAAGTGCATACATATTTCCACACTCGCATGGCTACACGCATGGTTGTTTTGTGTATTACTGCTTATCGTTAGACCTTAACTGACTAGATGTATGCTGCATATATGCTTGCTAGCTATATGGTAGCTCATGATGCCATTCTTGCCCACAGCAGTACATTCTTGAGGTCCGTTTGGCTCCTACTTGCTTTTAGTGCTAGCTCCACCACTGGCTGAGCCAGCCCAGCAGTGGCCCGCCACCACGCCCGCGCCCGCGCCCGCGTCGCCCTCCCGCTATCGCTGACCGGTGGGACCGCCCTATCATCCCCTACCCCACTTCCCCTCTCTCGACTTTAAGCGAAGTAGAGCATCACGCCGCGCCGCTCGCCACGCCAGCCGTTCAGGCCCTGCCCCTCGCCCGTACGCGCGTGGATGCTCACCACGTCAACAATCCGCGCCACCACCTGCCTCAGCTAGCGCCCGCATGCTCGTTGACACGAGCGCCATGGCCCGTGCCCCTCACAGCATGCCTGCCACCGCCGTACCTGCCCTTGATCGGCCGCCGCACGAAAATGGGAGCGCCAAGGGAACCGTGCTCACCCCTGCTCCCTAAAACCCTAAGCCAGAGCCCCTGATCACCTTACACGTGCCCCCTTCCCCTCCATCCACCATCTGCCACCGCCATGGTCGTGAGCTCCCTATAAAAGGGCACACCCGGTGCCTAGCGCCCTTACAACGCCCCACCGCCACTGGTGGTTTCACCAACCACACACCAAGACCAAGAGAAGGGAAGGAGAAGGAAGAAGGAGAGGAGAAGGAGGACGACAGCACCACTACCGTCGAGGAGCCACCACCAGAGAAGAAGATGACGCCCCAATCGTCTTCCTCACCGTAGCGGTTCAACACGGCACTGCACCGCCTCGCCACAGCCTTGGCTCGCCACCGCACCACCATCCTACCTACCCTGCCACCATGGTGAGCCCCAACGTTGCTCTCCCATGCTCGCCACTGTGGGCATGTCAAGCCACGCCGCCATGTTCTCCCCCTTGGGAGGGCCAAGGGCCGGCCTTTTTGCCACTGTGATGCACCGCACACACTTACACATGAACACTGCCAAGAATCCAGCCTTGCCGAGCCTGGATTGCTTGGGAACATCGGCATCCCGCACACGCACCGAGCGTGCTTGCCACGGCCAGAGCACGGCCAAGGCAAAGCCGTTCTGCCGTCACCGAGCCGGTAGAGGTAGGAAGCCCACCTTGGCAAGCCTCGCCTCACTGAGGAACATGTCACGCACTAGATGGGAGGAGAAGAGGAGCCCTAGGGACCGCTGGTCGCCTTGCGACGTCGGTAAGGCCATGCGCTCGTTTTGCCATCATGCCATAGCCATCCCGACTGACTTCGACTGCCTCGCGAGATGAGACCAGGCCGTCGAGTTTCGCCTTGACCCTGCACACCTCGCCATGTAGATGGATGAGAGCAAAGCCCATGCCTTGCCCTAGTTTGCCACGGCTGCAAGCTCGCTAGAGCTCTGTCGCGTGCCTTACCGCGGTGCGGACTCCACTGTGGCTTATGGTCCCCGCTGACTAGTTTTGTGGCCTTCCCATGACCCTAATCGAAGGAAAAGAGCCACTTTTGGCCCCTGCTATAGTCGTAGCTGCCCCGCCACCGTCCACCACTGTCTTTGTGATGCTACCGCCGTGTCCTGCCTTGGTCAAGCCCCCGCCGTCATGATTGGAGTCGCTGATGCGTTTGCCAGAGCGCGAGGAAGCCAGCAAAGCTCGTTGGAGCCATCCCGACGCACCATAGGGCCCCACCGTCGAAACCGTGCTGCCGCCGCCCGCCGTCGAGCCTACACTAGGCGCTAGAGCCACCAAGGCGCCGCCTTTGGCCCACCTATGAGCTCACCATGAGCTCGCGAAGCCATAGAGCCTCCTAGAGACTCTGTCGAGCCACCCTAGAGTGAGAACGGCCGAGCTAGCCGCTGGCGAGAGCGCCACCACGTGAAACAAAGGAGAGGGGGAAGGCAACCGTGCCCCTTCGCCTAGACCCACGTGCACCCGGCGCACCATGAGCCAGAGAGAGAGAGGGAGAAGTGGACGCGGTCCACCATGGACCCTCCTCGGTGCTCCATAGACCCGCGCCGCCCGGTCCACCGTGAGCCATGCGTGTAGATCGAGCCTAGTAGCGGCCCATGCATGCCACGTGGCTGCCTGCCAACGTGACACGTGTCCGGCTGGCTGGCCCATATCTGGCCCATTGAGCCCAATCAACATTGACCGTTGACTTGTCAACTCTAATCGTTGACCTAACCCCACCTGTCAGTCACTGTTGACTGTGGGTCCCACCTATTAGTGACCGTATTTCCCACGTCCAATCACATGCTGACAGGTGTCCTTCACTGTTCAAAATTCTTATTTTTCTTTTTTAGAAAATGATTTAAACTTAGAAATTCATACGACCTCAAAAAAATATTAAACCAATGCCCAAATTTTTGTAAAAATGAGCTCTACATCATAGACTTGTGTTTGAGTGCATTTGGATCTTTTGAATTTCTGTTGCTTCTTTGTGATCATCTATGGGAGTCGCTTATCGTGGCTATATGTCTCGTCTGACACACCCAGAGGAGCCACAAACTATGGAGCATGACCCCGACTATACTAAGGAGCTTGGAGACGACCTGCCAGGTGCCACGTCTCACCCAACCTCGTAGAATCCTATTAGACATGCTACAATGTAAATGCTAGCGCTTTACTTTTATGCAAATGATATGTGATAGGTTGCATGGTAGAATTGCTTGTGAGCTATTTCCTTGCCGCAACCTATACCCCTGCACACCTGCTGTTAGGTTAGACGTTCGCTTACCTTCTTGCTACTGCTTCTACTACGCATTATATTTGTGATGTGATGCTTGGTGGAGGATTGTATATGAGTGGTTAAGGCACTAAGTGCTGGTAATATGGTAACAACTAGGGAGATCTTGGCATGCGTTTTGGGTGTGTGGTGAGGGTTGAGTCGATCGGGCAGGATCTTATGA